GATGCCCAGGCCCGGTTTTCCCACGCAAACTTAGGCAAGATCGCAACCGCATGAAATCGAAACGCTAAGCTGCATCAACCATGGTAATACGAACTTGCATTAATTTACATGTTTAGCGATACAGCGTCGCGTTTCGAGAGTACACTTCGCTCTTCCTTTAGAGGGTAGTCCTTCGGTTCTGCTAAATCAAACAACTCCTAAATTTAGGGATACTTAACTAGATTGGAGTTAAAGATTTAATAAAAGTTTACTGCAACTTTGATGATAAGAGTATGAAGCTTCAATTTTGTTAATCGAATAGGTACATAACCTATGAACTCATAGATTTAGCACTTGTGTTATTAGAGTCAAGGATTTAATAAAAGTCGACTACGTATGTTAACTTTGAACAAAAGTATGAAGTCTACTGCTTCAATTTTAATAAATCAAATAGGTATGCAACCTCCAAACTCATAGATTTAGCACTTGTGTTATTAGAGTCAAGGATTTAATAAAAGTCGACTACGTATGTTAACTTTGAATTAAAGTATGAAGTCCACAGCTTCGATTTTAATAAATCAAATAGGTACATAACCTCCAAACTCATACATTTAGCACTCATGTTATTAGAGTCAACGATTTAATAAAAGTCGACTACGTATGTTAACTTTGAACAAAAGTATGAAGTCCACAGCTTCGATTTTAATAAATCAAATAGGTACACAACCTCCAAACTCATAAATTTACCACTCGTGTTATTAGCAATAAAAATTGAATAAAAGTCGACTATGTCTTTGATAAGACGTACCCATACGAAGTCCACTACTTCCGTTTTGTTAAATTGAACAAAGAACATTCGTACATTATTTAAGAGGTAGCGTTAGATTTAATAGAACTCTCTACTTTTCTCTCTGAGTGATTTGCATGGTCCTCCGTACGAAATCCCGAAATGATCGCGAGATTGAATTTGTTGATCCGCTAGTGGCCTCGACCCTCGTGCGTCAGCGAAGCAGTCGCTTGCAATTTATCCGAATCGACGTTTACACGAGAGACAACGCAGATTCATCGGCTGTTCCAACGAATTTGAATAATCCATAAACTACGAGTGTTTTTTGAAACGAGCTTAATTGTCGAACACGTTCCGCGCACATTTTCCTTTTTTCTGTGTCGGAGAATAATTAAATGCAACGACGAGGACGATCGATCGTCCGAATTCCAGATGACAACAATTTGGTTGCCTCTTCAGCGATTTTACACCGATGGAAACGCGAGGATATTCCGATCGACTTATTTCCGACGCGGTAAATTTACCCGGCTTTTAATACGCAACGAGTTTATCTTCGTATTTCGTGATATTGTATCGCATTGCATCGTGTCGCAAACTTTTCGAGAATACTTTCAGAGATCGCTTTTCAAAGATCAATTTAATTTAATCGAAAGTTTGCTGGGAATTCGACGCGAACGACGCTATTTATAAGGGGACACGACCCGTGATCCAAACTTAGATCCAGTAACTCCGTCAATTTTTCCCGAATATTTTTAATAAGAGAGTTCGAAAAACCGTATTTAACCGTGTACGGTCCATGTTCCATCGGAAACGATAGCAATCGATTAATCCGTCGAGTACGAGAGGAATTATCCATTCTAGAGCTCTTTTTTCCCGCTCGCTAAATCCGTAATTAACCGCGTCTCGTCGTGCAGCGAGTTCGCGATTGTTTTCGAGGATGACCCACCGAAAACGGCGCGATAATTTTTGCGATCACTGCACCGAGATCCGGCCGCTGGACAGGAGTAAGAGAGAAAACAAACGAGAAGCTCCGAAAGAGGGAGGGGGTCGTTCGGGTAACGGAAGGGAAAGAGAGGGTTGAAGCTGGTCGAACGAAGAGGCGCGAGACGATGAAACAAAGAAGAAAATAGCCGGAGGGTAGCGGTGGAACGGATAGAGAACGAGATGGAAGAAGGGCATACAGGGGATAGGTTGCCAATGGGGGGTGTAAGCGGGTGTCGAGGGGGTGTGTTTGGTCCGGGAACTCACGGTGATGCTGTATTGATCCGAGTGCACGAGCAGAGCTAAAGTAAGCCGAGGCTGGCAGAGCGTTGCCTTGGCAACCTCCTCCCTCATCCCTCAGGACTTTCCACCGGTCGGACCAACCTCTCGCACCGAAAACCACCCCCGAACTGCCTCTCTTTCTCTGTTCCCTCTCTCTCTTTCTCCGCCTATCTCTCTCTAGCTCGGAACCCCTTTCCCGTTATTCCTACCTCTGTCCTCACCAGGTCGATCTATAGGTGTTAAACGAACGCCCGGTTTCTCTTGGTGTCCTCGTAGACGCGGATGAAGAACCGTATAGCGGTTCTACGTGGGCGTACGCGAATCATCCTTTTGAAGAGTCGCGCGCACGTAGAATCGTTCCTTCCGGGGTCTTCGACACCGTGCTTTTTTCTTTTCCCTTCGAAATAATCTTATCTTCGCTGCTGATTAATACCGATGCGGCGCTAATTGTTTAAAATGTGGAGCACAACTTTTACCGAGAACTTCGTAGCTAAAAAAAGCGCATATTTTAACCCGCCTGTTATTATTAAACTGCGAAAGTAAAAGTTTGGGAAAGGTATCAAAGTTCGATCGTAAAAAGTTTGTCGCAGCAACAATTTATTTTATAAAAGTCTTCTACATTCGGTGTAAATGGCACTATCGGAGATGTAGGGGTAGTTACTGGAAGTGTTTACTGTACGCAATCCGGCATAATGTTGCAGTCTCAGCCCCTACGGAGGTGGCCAAATCTTTGGCACAGAAACGAGGGCTGTAACGCGGATATAGCAGTCTGGAATTGTTTAAGAAGCTAGCGGGAGTCGCACCCTCATCGAACCACCCTTCTCTCGCGAGAGAGGTTTTTACCGTTCTTTGAATTCACCAAATTATACGATCTGCTTTTCCACGATAATTCAACGTGGGTACACACAAGAACTCCGTATTTGCACGCCGTATATTTTCTTAGAGAGGTATAAATTTTTGACGGACGATTGCACGCGATAAATTGCACGCCGCAAGTTTCCTAAATCGCGGTAAAATAAATACAGCGTCTTTCTGGGTCGAGCACCCTTCTCGGTTCGTAAACGACCCGAAAGTGTCTCTCGAATTTCGAGCCAAAAAAACGTGGCAGCCGGTATTTATCTTATCTTACGTTAAAAAGCGAATTATCGATTCCGTTCAAGCAATTAATAACTCGATTCTTTAAACGGAGACAATTCGAGTTATCTCGAAACCACTCAAACTTCTTAGCTGATCAACAACCGATACCGAGGGCTCAATCTTGTAATTATGTCGTTAAATGCTTGTACACACGGTTTTTAAAATATTCCGACATCTCGTACAAAATATTTCCACGGACCTCTTTTGCATGTGAGCCAAGTATCCGGCAGCTTTGGAATTCTGGTTACATCCGCTCAACAAATTTCATTTTTCTGTGATATGGTAAGTAAACAGCGTTTCTGAAGCGCAATATTCTTCCCCGCATAAATCTGCTTTAATTTTCTGCATAAACCTGGAAGAAAGTTTCGAGGAAGAGCAGGAAACAATTTTATTGTCCACAACTTTGGAAAGTTCTAAAATCCCAAAATTGTTGATTTAAATTTTGAAATTGGTGTCTTTCGTGGCTCCTTTAATCTGGCCACAGGATATAAATTAAAGCGAGTAGAAAAAGGAAGAGGAACATTTTCGGCAGGGTGAAAAATTTGCCCATTGTTTCGGGCAAAGGCGGCTCGAACGCCGCCGATACAGAGTTTTCGTCGAACGTGTTCGTTGCGAATGACAACCCTCCGCGTCGTGCACACGACAGATGCAACGAACAATATGGGCTCGACGTGTGCGTATAGACGGGTTTTGATTTCGGGCGTTATTATGCCCGCGGTCAGGTATATAACGCACCGCGTTACGACGTGTCAGTCGTCGATCCGCCGTTATTTCGTGCTCCATCGCGAATATACCCTGTTCGTAAAATTGATCCGCACCGTTACACGACCGGGCCTGCATCCACGGTCCACGTTGCATTTCCGTTCTTCGCCCCCTACCGTTTACCAAATTTTCTGCGCCTCTTTTGTTCCTGCTCTTCGATTCCCCGCCCCTTTTTTCCCATCGGCTGTTTCCGAATTTCACCCCCTCCAACGAATTCACGGTTACGTTACGTTTTGGAAATGTTTCATTGTTTCTGGAACAATGGGCTAAATGCAACGGGTGTTCCAAAAGATTTCCTTGCAATTTTACAGCAACCATCATGTTCTAAAATATAAAACTTGTTAATATTTGTCATGATAAGCTTGTCAAACTTGTCAAGCATTAAATGTATGATCAAAGCAAAGGGAAAGGAAATTTTCTAATGTCAAAACCAGAGGTACCTTTACTTTATTCAGATTATTGATATTTCAATATTATTGAAATATCAAAGATGTATCTTTCGAACTCCTGGGCATCGACCTATCCAGATGGTAAGAGCTGACCCCTGTTTCCTGGAACTTTGACCGGCGTTCACCAGGGTTCGCCAGCCGTTGGTCCAGTCCAGCATCCCCCGACGCTGGCTCGTCCTGTCGGAGAACGCTCGAACTACATTTGGGGTTGTGCACCCTGTGCGCAGGGCGTCAAACAACAGACGCGTGCGTTCTTAAAAGTGTCTTTGTGCGATAATTTCATCGAGTAATAACAGAGAATATCTTGAACGTCTTCCAACGACCAGTTTACTCGAACCTAAAAATTACATAAACAGTTCAATCTCCAGTACTCTTCGATGGCTATCAACGGTCATTGAATTACAATCACAAATATAAAAAGAGAAGAATAAATTACAAAGTGATAATTTTGCCCAGAGGAAAGATGGCCTGTTACACGTTGGTGCGCAAAAAATTTTGCTGATCCTTGGATTGGGGAGATCCTGCGCCGTGCATGACCGGAAAGAAGTTCGTCGGTAAGTTTACTATTGATTACGCTTGCCCGATTATGCGTGAACAAATGTTATGAATCGGAAGGTGTGGACGGAAGTGAGACGCTCAGAGCTGAGAGATGAGATCCTACGACGGTGAGAGCAGCTCGACGGAGGACGACGACAGAAGAGAGGGCCTGCCCGAGGCGCATCTGCAGCAGGGATCCTGGCAACGCTCCGCTTCGCACCCCACATGGGCCTGGGAGCATCGCACTGTGTGTACATTACATAATTAAGACATTTTGAGTAATAAGCTATCGGTGCTTAGAAAAATTACAATATCTTGACTTAGAGGTTCTTGTTTTGCAGCATCCGCTACCACCGCAATCCACGGGGCCGCTCGAGTCGATGTACTCGGTCCCAGGAGCGTCTCACGCTAGCGTTTCCGCTCCGACAGCTGGCTACTCGTCAGAGCACCCTCAAACTGCACCTGGAAGGAGAACTCCATTGGGTGCTGTAGGTCTCGGTGGTTTTTACTTCCAGCAGCAACCGCAACCCCACGCTTCGTCCAGTGCTTTGTCCGATGAAAACAGACCTGACCCTGAAAGGTATGTTGATCCTCGCAAAGTATGACCCTTGCATGTTCCTGAAATAAATTATATATGAATGAAATTAAATTACATATGAATAAAATTAAATTACATATGTATATTACATGCTATGACAAATATTGAGAATCGAATGTTTACAGACCTGGAGCGTCTCGGTTGAACTGTCCCTCGAAGTCCAAAAGCACTCGTCAAGGCAAGAGCATGCGACTGAACATCAACGCCAGAGAGCGCAGAAGAATGCACGACTTGAACGACGCCCTCGACGAGCTCCGATCCGTCATTCCGTACGCTCATAGTCCGTCCGTGAGAAAACTGTCCAAGATCGCCACCCTGTTGCTGGCGAAGAACTACATTCTCATGCAAGGTAGCTCACCGAGTCCCCGTTCAATTACACGCTGCTGAATTACACGTTTTACGCAGGAAACGCTTTGGAAGAACTGAGAAGAGTGATAGCGGTTCTGCAGTCACCACACGCTCACACTACGGCCCTGCCGCCTACGCCTGTCTCCTACGATCTGTTGCACGGGTTCCCAGGAAAATTGTTCCAGGGCGTGCAGGACATGCAGGGACTTCCTTCGAACGATCCGCAGAACGTCACGGCGGGTGGACCTTCGACGGATGGCACGGTGGCGAGTGGAGAATCTAATTAAGGATTTCGAAGTTAGCCCTTCTGGGATGTGTAATAGTTGCGTCACTGAAATATGGTTTCTTAAACTTTCTTCTGAAAAAGTATCGTTTGAAAATTAGAAAATTAGATTCTTCAGCTATAAGTTTGAGCCACTTAATATCCCAGTATGTCTAGTAAAAACTATGTCTAAAAGTACGTCTACAAAAACGTAAGCGAGATTTGTTGATGAAAGTATTAGAAGTAAATATTCGAGAGCGTACTTCTCTGATAAACTGTTACGAGTTCGATAAACGATGAGTCAATATTAACTATGTACTTACTATTAACTACGGTTAAACGCTCCTAAGATGAAAGTTTATGAAAGTATTAATTAAGAAAGTAATTACTTCAACGATCTACGATAACGAGCAATAAGCGACAACATATTTCTGTCTCTGGTGACCGGAATTTTTCATTTTTTTCCCACCCCCGTGCGCCAGAGAGAGAAACGATGTAAAAGGGTGAGGAATACAATTTCCGAATCCCGTCCTGCAACGCGATAGTCAATATAGCATGTGATACATGTCGAGATATTATATATTATTATATTCTAGTCATACACGCGTACAGATCATAAATATTCATATACATATAGATATATATATATTTAATAATTCGAATTGAGCCATCGATTGTAATAACTTATTTATATACATAGTACGTTTATTAAGAGTTTATTACAATGTGCCAAGTCCAGTGCCCACGCGCGGATATAGTTCTCGGCACGGTATAGCGAGGCCGTAAATTGAACGTCCGATTTCATGTATTTTGCTGTCTGGAAGATTTTACGACCTTGCTATATCGATAGAATCTGAATCCGCATGCGACGTGCATTTTTCGTGGGTACTTGAGCCGATCCTTTTTCTGTAACGAAGGACGAGGTTTAATATAACGAAAACCTTGTCCTTTGATCACGATGGAACGTTTAATAACGAGCAATAACGACTATTATTCCTAATGACGTCGATCGTTAAAGAATAAAGTGTGCAGATGGTTTGTTGTAAAGCGTAGATATCACTGTTTAGTGCTCGAATATTCTAGATACAGTAGCCTCTCGTTATATCGCCACCAAATTTCAGAAACCGTCAATCTTAAAAATGGCCATATAGCGAGAATCAACTGTGATTGAACGAAAGGATGCTCTGGAGAAAATATTTTATTATATTCCACCTTTCAAAGCGAAATCAACTTTCATTTTTAACGAAATAAACGTAGTATTAGTGTGACCTTGAAAAGTCGATATCACTGAACAGTAAAAATACTTTGAAATTATTTATTAATATAAAGAATTGCAAAATACTATTTATTGAAACTTATCGCGGATATCGTACAAGGTCAGATGGGTTAAAGAGAATAAATAATAAGATAATGGTATTCTTTCAGGGCATTTTTTCAATTCGTTACGAGTTAAGACGCCAAGTTTTTTTTTAATACAATAACTCGTACTTTTACTATCAATATTATCGCGCGGAACTCGTATATTTTTAAGCGAGACGCAAAAGTTTATCGAATGTATGGATTTTCGATGTAATTTTACGCGGAACGTCAGAAACGTATAATTTATTAGACACGTTGACTGCCTAACGTGTTTCGAGTTTTGTATAATCTGATCAATTAATAAAAGAATAGACAAACTGTGAACAGCGTTAATATTAACAATATACACTAACGAAAGCTAAAATGTGAAAATTAATTAATATTTTGACTCGTGTCATAACGCGCAATAATTTCCACTACGGCAGTCAATGCGTTAATGAAACGTCGTCGATATTTAACGTTGAATACCTTCCACTACGCCGCCATAGTTCATGGAGCAATTGAAGAAAAGGAAGAAACAGAAAAATCAATTGATCGATCGATAGATACCAGTAAAATTAAGAACGCGACTGCACGGAACGATGAATCATAATTTTAATCGCGAACCGATGAGCTGGATTTGTTTATAATCTCTGGAAGCCAATTATACATTGCGAAAAATAGATAATTGTTATCTGAATCACCCACGCAACCGACTAGTGGCGCCATCATGGCGGTCGCTTCACGAAATATCGCTGCAATCATATTTCGTCAGTATTCCATTATCGAGACTGATTTTAATCACAAACACGAACAATAATAAACAAAATTGCACGGGAACTAGGACACATTATCGCGAACGTCGATTCAAATTAGATGCGTTGAGCCGTTCAACGAATTTTACGCGATTTGAATGGTCCGACTAGTGGCGCCATCATGGCCGCCACTCGACAAAGTATTCACTCGATCGTCTTCCGTCCTTCTGGGAGGACCTTACACCGTATGTGCCTGATTCGACGGGGTTTATTGTGTGCGTGTCTCGTCGGTGGCTTCAAGATGGCTTGCAGGCTGCTGCGCGCCATGGTGTGATCCGTTTCGTTCACGGTGCTAACAGTGTTTCCGAAAACTGTTTCGTGAAAAAGATTCGTTCGTGCTAGGACGACGACGTGACTCGACCGGCTGATAACTCGGGGTAACCTGGAAATGTGACGATCGCTACAAAACCGGTAAGTCGTCGTAGAATAATCTTTTATCATCCAGTTCGCGATTGTTCACGACTTTTTTTCACGGAAACTCCGCCACGGATGTTATTTCGGTAACGAAACACTTCGTGGTTAGGAGAAACAGAACGGAGCGTGACAGAGATCACGATTAGACAGCTACGAACTTTCTTTTTCCATGCTACTCGATCGAGTTCGCAGCGATCGCAACGGAGGCTTTAAAGCACAATTGTTTTTTACTCGTTGATAGGTTATGATGTCATAATAGTGGACAGCGCAATCTCTTTGTCTTCGCGTTCGTTAACCTTGTCGGTTACATCCGTAAGCAAAATAGAACGATTAATATCGTAGAAAGGGAAATTAAAGCCGTAAAACGTAGTATCGCTACTGCTCTTTTCGTATACATCTTTCCCTTTCTTGTAACGTAGTAATATTTTCCGTTGCGAGCGAACTAACCTTACCTTACCGTTGGACGAAAGACGCACGAGACGGGGTCGCTATTGGTAGTCCTTTCTACATACCTGCCACGCAAAAGCTACCTGCATTCTCTGGCAGATCGAGCTTCGAGAATTTCGTCGATATCTGTGCTTCATTTACCATTGTACACTGGCGGACATGACAGGCTTTCCTAGGGAAAATGGCGGCGTATAATGCGACTTCGTCACTCGCTGATTTTCGGTTAATAAATTTTCAAAATTAGGTACGAGGTTTTGCATTTAGCTCTTTATAAATTTATTTGGGCTTGGGTATTTGAAGGGTGTAAGGTCTTCTACATCTTGAAATTTCCCTAGATTGACTTTAGACTTTCTCTGCAATTTTCCCAGTACGTTTTCAGAATTACTCTGAGCTACCCTTATGTTTGTCATGACTAAGACTTTTTCTAATATTTTGCCTTGATGTCTTTTGAAATTATTCCTAGGTGGCGTGCCATCCATATTTCTTTAGAATGTCCCTATACTCCCTTTAGAATGTTTGAAGTCTATCTCCTGTCACTATCTCGAATTTTCCAAAATGTTTCCCCAAATTTAAACCCTTGTTTCTTAATATTAGTTCTACAAGTTCCAATTTTTTTCTAGGGTAATAATTGAGAGAGGTGAAAATTTCTATGACAGAGGCAGCTGCACAGAAAAGAATGTAGGCTTCGAATGCGGAACAGAAGTTCCATCCTTATCGGTAGTGACCCGAAAACAGAGCGACAGAACTGACAGGTGACGCATTTCCGGTGAACTTATCTCAGGTACATGTACGTCACACGATTGGCACGCGTGACGCGTGATCGACAATCAAAATCGTCCGTTAATGAAATCGAACAATTTTGCCGAGCAGTGAAAAATTTAATTAAACTGTATCGAGTGTTTGATGAACCAAAATTGTGGTGTTGGGTCAAGGATTACCGATTGAATTATCGCGGTTTGCTTTTGTTTTCGAGCTGGGTACGATAAATCCTTAATTCGTTGTAAAAGCGAGAATGAAAACGTGATTCGCTTATCAACGAAACTGAAAAGTTATCGATACCGATATTTGATCAGGAGTCTGCAGTCTCAATTATTTGGCTAATATGGTAATTAACGTCCATGTAAATAGGAGTAGGTCTTCTGAAATAAGGAAGCATCCTTCACATGTGAGGGACGTAGGGGTATTTCGCAAACTTTACTTTATATAAATCAATACGTTATTGGTTTCAAAAATATTACAGAGAGAAAATTTCTGATTTTTAAAATATTAAGCTACGAACTACGTATGTGTGCTCTCTAATATACCAACAGAAGAATGTTTATGCACGATATCTCTGTAAGATAATGAGAGATATCTGCCCTCTGCAGTTGCATATCACGCATTTTTCCTTTGCTGCTTCTTTTTATCCCATTTCGTAACGGGATTCGCGCAAATTCCGTACTTAGCGGATACTCGTGTAACTGTATTCATTTAGACAAGAATTACGGTAAGCTGAACTTTTATTCCCACTAGTTTTAATTTCTGTATACGAAATTATAACATTCCAATTTCAAGTTCTGAATGCGGAAAAGTCGCATAATAGACCCATGTAATATAACGAGATTTTACCATGAAATTTTAATATATTCTCCATTATAAAACAGTACCTGTTCCATAGTTGTAAGTTTTATAATGTCACCATAATGCAACGCTGAAAATAAAAGTGCTTTGATAAAAATGCTTTCACGCAGTATAAAAGTGCGATCAATTTCGATACATAGTCTCAAATCCAGATTCATAGAAAAATTGAATTTCTGGTTTGTAAACGATACCGGTGAAAGGTACGGGTACAATTGTAAGCGTACGGTAAACCCGAGTTGGTAGCTTTTGTAACGTCGCTCCTCTCTTTTCCTCCATAGTTATGGATTTATTATTTTTCATTAACGAACAGCCAGAGAAGCCGGTGGGTGGGTTGGTCGAGAGCATCGAGTGAAAAATGGTGAAACGAGAGAGCAGGGAAAGAGACGAAAACAAAGCGGACGCAGCCGCCAGGGCAACAATGGCGCATCGACCCGCCAAAACTCGGTTGTGCGCAGAAACGTTTAATCTTTCCCTATCGAGAAATCTTCCGAATACTTTTACACCGATTATTATACACGATTTTACCGATTATTTTACACGATCTTTTTCTGCGAAAATTAAGATAGATAAGTGCGGAGGAATGTGGGTAAAAAACAAAATGGCCGCCTATTCGCTTGATGCGCAGAAGCATGCGCAGTGCACACGCAAGCACGGTAAAGGGATTTCTATAGTTTTTGGAATTCTGCTTTTCGGAAACGGTGCTTGCGCAATATTTATGATGTTAATGTACAAGTAAAGTAAAAAATGAACTTGGAGACCAAAATTTATTGCGTAAAGCCTTCGAAAAACATTAGTTTTTGGAATTCTGCTTTTCGAAAACGGTGCTTGCACAATATTCATAATGTCAATGTACAAGTATAGCATGAAATTAACTTGGAGACCAAGATTTATTGCGTAAAGCCTTCGAAAAACATTGAGTACGAATCATCGTGCAAATATTCACCGATAAATCGTATCAGTGATATTTAAGCACGCAGTATCGAGTGAATTCACCGTCGAATTTTACCTGAACAGTTTAATCGCAAAAGTACTAAAATTAGTAAGTGATATTAATACCCGGTATCAACTCAGAAATTCTGTTAGATAAGTTTCCTTACATTTGGCAGATTGGCCCGATCAATTTGTGCCTGTTACGAACACCTGGAGCCGAGGACATAAGAATAGGGGGTCCAAATTGCAGTAGCCAATTGGCTGACAGGGTTCCCGTATTTTTCCATTTCTGTTTCAATTCGTGAAGCGAGCGTTTCAGGTATCCTGCAGGACTGCAGTTGGTTCCCGTGAACAGGGTAAGACTGAGAGAAGCGTGGTTCACGATGGATGAAGATCAGGTGCCGTGGTTGCCAGGGTAACCGGCATTGATCCCTCCCCTCTTGTTCTATCGTCCTTTTCGTCTCTCCACCATACATTATTTGCCTCTCTCTCGCAACCCCCTCGTTCAACACACAGATCAAATGCATACACGCATTCGTGAACGGCAAGAATCCATTTTTGTTGCAACATTTGAACCTCGTTTAGATACCTTTCATAGATGGCTTTTTGAAGATTGCGATTTAGCGGAAACATGAAAGTTGGGAGCAAGCGGAGAAAGTAGATGCGGTTTGCCAAAGAGTCGGGCAATATTGTTCCATTGTTGCGGTCGCAACGTAAATATTTGAGTCCTTCGTTTTCTTATTTGTTGGGGTATATATTCGGGGTTAAAATAAGGACGTGTTTGGAAGAATACATGGAATCTGGATTGTGGTATTTTCTGAAGTCCCAAATTCTGGATATCTTAACCCCTGGATACTCGGTGCTCAATGATGACGTGATGTCATAAGCAGCCAAAAGCTTGAGCAAAACCTAGCGATAAATAAGGTTCTGAATGTAACGAAGGATCTATGTACGCTCCACATACGCTGCCAGAACCCTGCAACAAGTACAATCGGATTCCAAACAGTCTTACATGCTCACTGGTCCTCGCAACGTTGTAAAATCACTGGAAGTCTACCGAAGACCCTTCAAGACAACGGATTACATTTAAGCAGAAGATTCAGCTTGCTCAAACTTCGAGTTCGAACGTTCTACTTCGAAACCCATTTTCCAATGCGAATCTGTACATTTTGACTGTGTTCGAAACTTAGAATAAACTTATGTACTTAGAAACGTTAGTGCTTAGAATCTTAATTAGAATAAAGTAGTTATGCTACTGTTTACCGATGCTCAGCTGAAGAGATCTTCCAAAGTACGACTACGTTATATCACCGCTCGTTGTATCGCTACCCTGAAAGCTTTAATCGATGGCGGTGTTCGATGATTCTAACGGACGAGAATAGCGTCGTCTGACGTCACGTTAACGTAGCAGTGCGACACGCGTGGATGACAAGCGGTGAAAATACCGCTGCGGCTCGTCAGCTCGCGTTACACACGCGATTCGCGTGTCCATTAGCTCCGTCACGTCTCAACGCAGTGACGTCAGTTTTGTCAGGTACACGCTCTGTTTCGGTCAAAACCGCGATTGACCCACAAAACTGGAATTCGACTTCGCGGTTTCTAATACTCCTTGAAAACGGTACTCTTGCGGATTTTACGGATTTGAGAAATTGAGTTCGTTCAGAAGATACTTATTGGCTGAAGCCAAAAGTCGCAGAAGTCAAAAGTCATCAAAGTCAAAGGTGGACAAAGTTCATTTGGGATTTGTCGTATTTTGTTGATGCACATTGTCATTGCTACTTATGGTTTATAGAACAACTGGAACCTTTGAACCATGAATTGAACCTTGAATTCACAGCCTGATAGTGGAGCACATAATTACGTAGACATAAACCCACATCTCGACACAAGACGTTCTTTCAATCCAACAAGATGTCTAGATGTCTCTTTGTATCTCAAAAAGTAACGAAAGCAGCAAAACCATAGCATAGGATAATTGAAGTGACTGGATTTAACGATCAGGAAGGATCGCAGTATAAACACGTGCACAAAGGTTGTAAAAATATGGAAACGACATTCATGAAAATCGAAGTGGATTCCGAAACTCCGATCGCCAATTAACAAACCTTGTCTACGAAAGCCTTGTCTATTTACCTTAGGTGGAATTAAGTTAACCAAATTGAGAAACAGTCTCCTTGAAAAGTGCGTTTCGGAACATCCGCAGTATCGTCGGATTTACTGCAGATAGAGTTGGGAAAGTAATTCCGCGGCAATAAAACGCCACAAGTGAGCCGCGATAAAAAGCTGCTTAAACTTTAGCGCGTTGTCCATCAAACGAAACATCGAGTAGTGATTCCAGACGTTCAGAGGAGGCGACCCAGTTCTGAACGAGGTTATCGCAATAGTCCTTCCTTTCCTTTTCCCGAGCCCTTAATCGAAGAAAAAAAGATGCAATTATAATCGATGTCCAATTAGGTGTTTTTGTCAGACGTGAAAGTATCGAGAGGAATGCAAGCAGAACGCAGCTAGGTCTGTTGCAAAATCATCTGAGATTGCTGGCTGGCCGAGCATTGCGAGAATTTCACAACGGCCATTGTTAGAACGATGTCGAAACCGCGTCAATTTTAGAGGCGAATTGAAGACAGAATGACCGCGGTTTGGTGCATCGACCTTCAGTTTCAGCGAACCGCGATTCAATACTCGATCGAGTTATTCTCCAAATAGGGGGTTAATTCAATGGGAGATCAAAGTTCTTTATGGGGTCATGTGAGGGAGGTTACAGTTTTGATGGGACCGGTGGCTAGTTAGGGGTGGATAATAATTTACTCGATCAGATAAGATGGCACCCTGTGAGAAGCTGGCATCCTCGGATGAGGTGGCATTCGATACATAACTCTACGTTTCACAATAACTCCGTACAGAAATACTCTGTACTGCTGAGACACCCAACGATGCGAGAAAGAAAGATTTGAAGGCGATATAACGAGGATCTCCGGTGTATTTACCGACGCATGTTCCTTCGGTGCGGTTGTAAACTAACGTCGCTGACCTCGCGGTCAGGGGTGATCCACCCGCGGTTGGTTACGGATTAGGGTAGGTTAGGGTCATGGACCACCGGATTAACGGGGGTTCCCTTGATCCCGATTTCAAGGATCGGGATTTATGAGACACGCTTTCTTGCACCGTGGTTAATCGTCACAGTTCAAGGTTGCATTTTCTGACCTCCGTCTTCTCTTTGGACATACTTCTGAACTATTCGCGACTTCATTGGGTTATGAAGATTTAGCTCGACTTGATGTTGTTAGTTGCACATGTTTATCCCTGAGCGTTTATCGATCGGCAGCAACCTTTTGCGTGGGGAGTTGGGGCAGCTACGAGGAATCAGGATTTCGTTTCGTAGAGAAGAATGAGTCCAACCAAACCTCAGACTTGAGTTACCAATGTGAAGAAATACCTAGCTGTTGCACGAAGTCTATGAACTAAGATTTTTCGAACCAAAGTGACGTTTGAACCTTGTGACGTCTCTCAAACTTGAGTTATCAATGTGAAGAAGTAGCTAGCTGTTGCACAAAGTCTGTGAACTAAGATTTTTCGAATCAGAGTGACGTTTGAACCTTGTGACGTTCCTCAAACTTGAGTCACCAATGTGAAGAAATACCTAGCTGTTCCACAAAGCCTAGCTTAGCCTAACTAAGCTTCTATGAACCAAAGTGATGCTTGAATCTTGTACCATCCCTCAAATTTGAGTTACCAGTCGGAAGAAATACCTACCTATTCCACAAAGTCTACCTACTAAGATTTTTCGAACCAAAGTGAGAGTAGAACCCTGTAACATCCCTCAAACTTGACTCATCAATCTGAAGAAACACCTAGCTGTTCCACAAAGCCTAGCTTAGCCTAACTAAGCTTCTATGAACCAAAGTGATGCTTGAATCTTGTACCATCCCTCAAATTTGAGATACCAGTTGGAAGAAATACCTGCCTATTCCACAAAGTCTACCTACTAAGATTTTTCGAACCAAAGTGAGAGTAGAACCCTGTGACATCCCTCAAACTTGACTCATCAATCTGAAGAAACACCAAGCCGTTCCACAAAGCCTAGCTTAGCCTAACTAAGCTTCCATGAACCAAAGTGATGCTTGAATCTTGTACCATCCCTCAAACTTGAGTTACCAGTCGGAAAAAAGACCTACCTATTCCACAAAGTCTACCTACTAAGATTTTTCGAACCAAAGTAAAGTTTGAACCTTGTGACTCTGATTCCAAGCCTTTGTGACATCCCTTGAACTGCAATTACCAAATACCTAGCTGAGTTTCCCCAAAGTCCCCAAAATCCTGTTTACAGCGTTCGATTTTCCGTTCTTACGGAATTTCAAAACATGTGGCCTGTCGCGCAGCCATGCCTTAACTCCCCGTCCCGAAAGTTTAACAAGCTAGAAACGATGCGCGGAGTTTCAGTTAGCCGACTGTTGCAACTAATCGGACGTTAATTGAGTTTAAAGGTTTATTAAACTGTTCTCTCGTTTTCGAGTGTTCGGAACTCGATTTACCGAACGACTGGCGCAATCTGGCCGTTTATTCAACGCAGAAAAAGTATTAATTCGTGTAAATATATTAAAAGGTGTACTTTGACACGGTAATTGATATTACCAGCGTTTGACTCTTGAAAAATCATTTTTCGCTGGTGGAAAAAATGTTGGTACTCGTAAATTGCGTCGCAGTTAAACGTGAATGAAAGGTCCTATGCACGTACGAGGAACGTAGTCTGGTCTATTGAACCGGGCACAATGAGCGACAGCTATGGACGCTGACCAGCACTGAGCTTCGTATTTATGCTCGTGTTAACGCGTTCCGTATAATCCTTTGCGGGAAAATACAGGGTGTGTCACAACTAGTGTGGCTCTGTATCTTACTAGTGCCTTAGAAAGGGAGAGCTGATTTTGAATAAGATTTCCCTTTGCAGAAATGGGGTTCGAAGCTTCGTTTTTGAATTATCAAGGAAAAACGGACCGATCAGAGCGCGGTGCGCGCGCAGACGCAGGAGTGATGGCTTCGAGCGGCGGCTGAGATTCATATGCTGGGTTATTACACGTTATATTACTACGCGTTGGATTACTACGCGTAGGATTACCACGCTTTGCATTACCACACGTTGTATTACTACGCGTTGGATTACCACGCGTTGGATAATTACGCGTTGGATTACTATGCGTAGGATTACCACGCTTTGCATTACCACGCGTTGGATTACTATGCGTAGGATTACCACGCTTTGCATTACCACACGTTGTATTACCACGCGTTGGATAACTACGCGTTGGATTACTACGCGTAGGATTACTACGCTTTGCATTACCACGCGTTGTATTGCTACGCGTTGGATCACCACGCGTTGGATAACTACGCATTGGATTACTACGCGTAGGATTACCACACGTTGTATTACCACGCGTAGGATTACCACGCTTTGCATTACCACACGTTGAGCGAAGTAGTCGCTCTCGCGTCTGCGCATGCGTCCCTCGCTCTGACTGGTCCGTTTTCCTTAATAATGCAAAAACGAAGCCTCAGATCCTATTTTCGCAAAGGGAAATTTTATTCAGAATCAGCTCCCCCTCATTTCTGTACAGTAGTGAGACCTACAGAGCTTAGAATTTCAGTTGTAATCAAGGGTAGGCGATTTAAAACTTTCATCACTTCCCTATTCTCGAAAATCACTTTTCCCTTGATAAATTGCGGCCCGTTGGAATGTATAGTCGATTGTGTATCGCGACACACGTAATAATACTCCGTACCGTTATCTGCCCACGCCTCTCCACCCTTTTCATCTATCCCTCCTTCGGCGCATTCGATTTGCAGCTATATATGCATTCTGCAGCCATCGGTTGAACGCGAGTAGTACTAGGAATTGAATGAACGCGTCGGTAATCCTCGTACAGGATATCCAATCAGCGCACGAGGATCGTATCGATTTATAATATCCTTTCTTTCCTGCCGCTTTTTTCGAACCTTGAACTCTCGAGTTCAAACGCTTTACGGATTTAGGTTTAGGTCGAGATACTTAAAAAATAAATTTGATCAGAATTCCGTTGGCAATCGACGCAGCTGCGGCGGTTTGTTACGGTGTAGTATGAGCGGAAAATACGATAGAAGGGAAAATGAGAGAGTCCATGGTATGTATGCACGTGGCTATAGTGCTACACTGCGGTGGGATCGATTCGGCTGGAGGTGGAACCCCACCCCCATTTACAAGCCCCAATATACACCCCCGGAGCTCTCACCCTCGCGAAATATCCGTAGGTTAGTTCCTCGTCTTATTTTCTTTCTCTTTTCAATTCTTCGCGATTTGGATTTCGAAATTTTCGACCAATCGGTATTTTACCGATTCGCCAGATTTTTCAAAGTTTCTTCGAGAAGGGTGGGTGGTACATTCCACAGCTTCCAGCGAGGCTGTATTATATTCCGCTCCCTCGCTCTTATTATGCCAAAGCGACCTATACCACCGTGTTTCAGTGTGCGTCCCAGACTCCCACATCTTACCATTATTTATACAGAAGAGTTTGTGTGAGTGTGTATATCTAAATACACAGTTCATGAATCTACAAAATCCCGAATCTCCTAATTTGAAAATCGATTCACCCGTGTACCCTATATCGCCACTGTTTTTACAGCGAAAGTTTCAGTAGTACAACACGATAAATGACGCTACCCAAAATCCCATACATTTACTCGATTAACGAGTACCAGTAATATTTCTCCTCGTAACTAAAGCGTGCATGAAAACCTCGATGTTTTCGTATCTTACGCCGGCCTTGTCTCTGGCTCCGCGTCGTCGGTTCGCTATATACCAGCTACACGTATAGTAGTCAGCGTGATTGCTATAGTGGTTCTGCACCGTGTTATAGTGATGCGCCATAGTAACCTGCGCAGAGAGGAGACGAGGACGCCAGCGGAGTCTGGGCAGAAACGGAGATGGAGCAACGGGAGAAAACGAGCGTAGGCGTCGAACGGAGACAACCGAAACTGAGCAAAGATCGAGCGAGACGCAGAGATACAGAAGCGGAGAATTTGTGTAAGCTTCGTGCGCTAGAGACGGAGAAATACTACTGATGAGAATGGGGTAGAGGAAACGACCGGGGCGAATTTTATTTGAAATTAAAATAAACTGCTAGTTGAAATAATATTTGTTTCCGATACTAGAAAAGGTTAATGTTCTGTAGTTTTATGTACAGGCTGGTCCAAAAATAGATTTTTATTTACTGAAGATTTCCATCGATAGTCATCAAGGTCTCTGGAACCTCCATTTTTTTTTCTACGGAAACATGTACTTTTAACGATGCAATTTGTTGCATTTTGCGGTCCTCTACAAGAAAGTATTAAGGTACTATCGTGAAAAAATCGTTAGTTCAAGAGATATTTTAGGGAGAGCCAGTGGGATCTCCCCGGCTCTCCCTAAAATATCTTTTGAACGAATCAATTTTCGACCCAAGTACCTTAATACTTTTTTGCAGAGGATAATAAAATGCACCCATTGCCGTTATAAAAAGAATATAGTTCCGTTCAAAAAAATTGAGGTGACCTTGAAATGTTTGAAATACATGCACTTCCGGGAGCGGTATGTACATCATGAGATAGTGTATTCGATACCATTTGACTTTGCTTCTTGAAGTTCTTGTCTATCTTCCACCGTTTTGGAGATATAAATTATTCTTGCTGCGTGAAACACCCTGTACCGCCACTTTTGTGCGAGAAACTTTTGGATATGAACGTTAATCCTAATAAATGTAATGTACAATAAAGTTTGGTACAAATTATAGCTTTAATCATTGTATAGCACGATGGTATTTTGAAAAGGAAATAATTGCAAATCAACGCTAAGTGTTATTCGAAATATTTCAAATCGTGTCATTTGAAAAGTGCCCAGCTCCGAAAGAGAGACCAGAAGGTGAAAGAGTACGGAGCAAAAAGAGGGTGTATTCGTGTAGGTCGTGCTCAAAGTTGTGCTCGCGTGTAGGTGAAAGAACGACGGAGCCTGGAAGGGGATGATGGCGGAGGAAGAGGAAAAAATGGGGGAGAGAGAGAGAACGCTTTGGACCTTTCTCAGAAAGCAGAAAGCACGACGGAGCAATATCGCAGCGTCTGCCGGTGTTGTAAACTGCTTTGATCTCCTCTCTCTCTTCCTCTCTCGTTCGTTTAATATGCTCTCTCTCGCTCGCTTCCACCCCCTTTCGAGAGTTTAGAAAAGCCGACGGAACCAAGTTTCGGTTCCCTTTTTCATGAAAATTCCGATCAAACCTCGTCTTCGCCTGGTTCACGAAATTTGGATCAATGTTTTAATTCCGAAACGAAGATATCTTCCGATAAATATTGTCAAAGTGGAGAAAGAAATCGGTGAACGTTTCCGCGACTTCGAGCACGAAGCTAACGGTACCCGATGAATTATTTAATCGTTAGACGTAAGCTGCTGCAACGGGAACGAGAGTAACGTAAATTGGGTCTTCTTCGGCCGTGGAAAGCGGCGCGCAATTGCCGCGTCGTTCTTCCTCTTGGTGGCACACGGTCGCACCTGTTCGCCGCGCGTGCAGCAGAGGGGATGGGAAATTTCGCGACGACCTTGATACGCGAAAACCAAAATGCACGCGAGAAGACATCGATTATATAACAAAAAATTAGCTTAGCAACGCGACATAATACGATTCTCTTAAAAAATTGCATCTATGAAGACACGAATTTTTGAAAACAACGTGTTCGCCACCTACAAATGATTTTTGCGGTTCTATGCAGTTCTACAAATTCTCGAGACACGAGAGTTCGGATCACACACGACAAATGTTGATACGATCAATTTACAGCAAGTTTTCCCGGCGCAGTTTTTTATATTTCGTTATGAATGCGCTATTACTTTTCGCGCAAGAAGGGAAAAGAGGATTCAGGGTAGTCTGGTTGCTGTAGTCTTCTACTTTCGCAGCGTAGCGACAATTACGGGCCGTGCAAACCCGCGCAAGCGCCACGCTCTCTCGTTCGTTGAACCGTTCGTGAGAGAGAGGCGCCTGTGTGCGTGTAACGAAGAGATGGAAAAATATAAATGCGAGAAACGGAGAAAGAGAAGCGAGAGAGAGTTGGAGACTCGTAGTAGACAATACCGCGTCAATTTTACAACCCCACCTATGCAAAACTTTCCACATTTCAAAATGCACCTTGCGTATCGAAGCTTTTCAAATTCCCTGCGCAAATTTTAGAATTTAGAATCTACTGGACCTCGCTTATGCACGAAAGTCTGCAAGGGTAATGATAAGAGTGATACAGTCACTGTTCGCTTATGTAACGACTGAAACCTGTTTGGTATACTTCGAATACACAGTGGCTTTCATGGTTTCTTCTGTATACTTTACAATTTCTCCAAAATTTTGTTAACAAGTCGATCAAGCGCCCTTAAACGGTCCCAGAGTGTAATATTACGTTCTCGAAAGGCTCGAGGGTTTTCCTGCTAAGAAACAGGTTTGTTTACAGGTCCTGCGGTTTTCAAAACCGGGGTTGCGCGCAAGTTTTACACTCGAGCTGTTTTACGAGCTTTGAAAGATCGTCTTTCCTCCGGAATGTATGGAAGTGTTAAAGGCCGATTGGACACCGTTATGGATTACTCTATAAACCTACAAAGTTTTATTCTCCCTTGCGAGATCTTCCGGTTTATAAATAAACCCCGGAGATTGCTGGAAAGGCTTATGAATTCTCCAGTATGAACTTCCAGCTTTTTACTAGCTTAGTTCGGCGAATTTCGGTTGAATCTCTAATCAAATAACTTCGATTAACACTTACGATTACTAATATTATAATACTTTCGATTAGATTTCGTAACACGACTCTGAAAAGTTTTCGTTGTTTCCCGATTTATCCAGTTTTCAATTCGAAAGAGAGTACACATTGTAGTCCGATTTAGGAAAGTTAATAATATCCGTGGTTAATTGTGTAGGTCCGTCAGTAGGCGTAGCCTGTGCGAGAAAATAGAATTACTCTAGAAAGGCCAGGGAATTTCACCGATGGTAATCAATGAGAGTCATTTGAAAGTCGCTTTCCCTCCAAATACGATGCTCGGAAACGGCCGTTCGAAAAAAGCACCGAATTCGAAAATACGAAAGATCGATATCTCGAGAACGCGTGCGGTTCGATCGGTTCGTTGAGAGCCACTGCGTTTCGTAGCATCGTACACTGTATTACACATTCACGAACACTGACGAGGCTCGTGTGTGCGGCAAGTACGCGTGTACCCTTCACTAGCGTGGAGGAGAACCGAGGTGAGCCGAAGGTGACCGAACGGCGGCGGCGAGCGGAATCGTCATCGATGCGGCGTCGAGGCACCTCCGCTCACTCTGCTCCGAGCTGTCGAACGCGACGCACGCGTCTCCGCTTCGCTTTTTTTTTTCTCCATCTCTGCGAGTATACGCTCTCCACTTAGAGCAGCATTTCCCTCGCTTTCTCGTCATCGAGTATCGTCGAACAAGAGAGAGAGGGGCAGGCATACGGGGTCTCTGGGATATATTCCAGTCAGTTTGCTCGTGAACGTTCAGCTCTAGTCTTCAGCTTCGACCCGAAGCTTTTCTTTCCGTCTTGTCGCGTTCGTTTTGGATCTTCAGGTTACTCTTCTTCTTGTTCTTCAACGAGACGTTGTTAGGACGTTCCACGTTCGATCTCGTTCATCCTTCGTTTCGGTGTCGGTCGATTCGAGTTCTGCGATTTCCATTTGCGTTGTAAAAGGGATCTCGTCGATCAAAATTGGATACCGTTTTCTTCGGAGGAAGAAAGGGACTCGAGGCAGTCCGGAGTTCGTCGAATGCCGCGTAGCTCGAGAGCGCGGTCGTCCTCTATGGAGGAGGCCGATCGCTCGATGGATCTCAGGGCCAGACGGGTTTGCGGGCAAAATGGAGGCAGTTGGAGTTGCGAAACGACTTAAATCGACGCGCATCGAGATATCTAGCCTCGTGTTCGGAGGTTCGAAGGGCTTAGCGACAGGCCAGAGTGGTGCAGAAGGTGGTGGAGGGGGCGGAAGATCGTGCGGCTCGAAGGTAAAAAGACGAACGGGGAGAAAGTATTTAAACGAAAAGAAAATAAAAGGAAAAGAAAAGAGGAACGGAAGTCGAGAGAAAAACCCTTTTACACCTGGCTAGTCGAGTCGAGTTGTTCTCCGGGGTATATAGGGGTACAAGGTGCGCATGGTAACCGAAGGCAGACAGAAACCTCTCCCTCCCTCACCCTCCTTTCCTGCCAGCTTTGAATCAATAATCTCCGGCCAGGATTATATGCGGACCCCTTTTATATTCGGTGCTGTGATAAGAAAGATATCGGCAGATTAAGGACACGCTCGATCGCCTGTACGTCCGAGACGTTCTCGATTCTCGATCGACAACTTTTCGGACGATGTTCCTCGGATGCGTGTTCGACCGCGTACTTCTCTGTTTACCGGTGCGCGGTATCAGCGCGCGGATTATTGATCCCTCCATCTTCTTCTCCGTCCTTTCGTTTATGATGTATCGGAAACGTGGTTACGCGGTGAGAATGTAGATCACTTATCCCTCTAACGGATGAATCGATTCTTTATTCCCCTCTCGATCCACGCGATCAAACTCGATTATCTAACGCGTGTTTCTTCTTCACCGCAGATCAGATGCTTCAGATGGAATCATCTTCGGCCGAGGATCGCCTTCTCGAAGCCAAAGAAGATTCCACGTCGGTGGAATCATCCAGTCCTGGACCGAGCGCACCCATCGAGAAGTCGGTGGAACCCGAGGATGTCGATATACCAGAGAAGGAGCCGAATGCGTGTCACGGGCCCAAGGACAGCCAAGGGTTCGTGAATATAGAATCGCGCGAGACTTCGATCGAGGTCTCGAACCCTCCCGTGCCAGAGGATCAATCGAACATGGGACTGAAGATGGGAAAACAGAGCAACCAGAGTGAAGGCTCGGTTGCCGCGTCCGAGTCCGCGGAAACGTCGGTCAACCCCGACAAGCCGGACAACGGGGAAGCTTCGGAGTTCGTCACCTCGTCGCCGATATGCAGGAAGAGGCCAGCCAACGATTTCCTGCCGATCAACGCGGAGATTAAACGAATAGAGATGGAGGTTCCGGAAAACGAGGCGAACCAAGTGAGGAGCGACGTGAGGAGGATCTCGCCGGTCCTGGTGAGCCTTCGAGAGCGCACCCTGGGCGAGATATCCTTGTCCTCGGACTCGTGTCTGTTCGACGACGACGCGAACGGTCGCTGCGTCTCGAGGAACAGCAGCATCCTCGAGGATTTGTTGACCGGCGCCTATAAACTGAACAACAGCACGAACAGCACGCTGAACAACAGCCAGAACGGTAGTCCGACTCTCGACAGCTGCGCTCAAACTGGCAGTGACAATCCTGCGTCGACGGTGGGAGGCTGTTCGGATTCGGAGCCCAGGATCAACGGGGTAACGTCACAGGGTGGTGAACGCACGGAGGATCCGTTCATCGACGAGGACTCCTGCTATTCGCTGCCCCGCGACAGCCCTGGCAGGGACCTGAACTCGTGTCAGCAACCG